TGCTCGTACATGTATATCGACGAAGGAGTAAACATGTACGTAGGGCCCTCTTTAGGGCTGTATGTCTCGACAAAGGAGTATCCACGAGCATGACGAGTCACCATAATTCGCGCACTTCTAACTTTGACCAAAATTTGTTCCTAAATAAATAGAATTTTTATGGCTTCATTCTCACTAGCTGAAAGTTTCACTGAAATGCATGGAATGACATTATGAAGAACATCGGATGTCACAGAAGCAACAGGAATGACGTCGTCCGCAAACAAGTCGGATCGGTTTTGGTCAAACTTACATCATCAAAATACGCGCATTCGCACAAATGTCATTTTATGGGGTATCAGTAATGCCCAGCATGTACTTCTGAAAAAACTGCCCTTTAATGTCTCTTGAATGAGGAAGTATTTTTTGCATTAATTGCTTTGGTGCAGTGATGCAGTGTGAGGGAAAAAACACTTTTATTTACCACTGCTCAATTTTCCATCACTTACTCTTTTTCGTTCTCCCAGTTTTTAATTTTTGTCAATTTCATTTTAAGTTACAGTAAGGTATGGATTTTTATTCTTTCAAATACTAGTTCATGTAAGCATTAAAATGAGCCATTGATCTGATTATGTTATTAAACTTCTCTTTCTAGGTGTATTTCTGACAAAAAGTCGCAAAATACAGTGCGGCTGAATCTCTACCAGTCGTTGGCAACAAAAATCTCAAAGTATAAGGTACACAGTGTTTGTTCAGGCTCCATACATTTGATAATGTCCTGAGTAATTGGCGAAAGTTGTCCGAAGTCGTTATCATTACCCATGTCAGATGTCCAGCACAGATCATGAGCAAACAGAGATCCTTTATCCATTTTCTAGACAATTTCAACCAGTTTGTTTTTCGAGCAAAATTTTAAGCTCAAAGTTCACATAAGTGAGATTTCATTGAACTTCTGGTATTCTGATTAAATAAGTCTTGGTTTACGTACATGGTTTACATACATACACGTATGTACAATGTACATGACATGCATGAACATACCATACCTGCTACAGGTACATGTACATGTACAAAGTTTGTTCTTATATTCGCCCGTTTTTCCGAATCGTTTTTTCCAATATATAAATGGACTCTTTTAAAATGTGCCATGAATTTATCGACTTCAAATCATTTCATCACTGTTTATGTTGGATTTTTAAATATTTTTTCAAGTATACCACATTAGAGAACACTCGGCTGAATCCAAGCCCAATTTTCAGACACCAACAGTTTTGGATTTTGAACAAAATTTCATGGCACTGAAATTGTCCACAAAGGTTCAACATCATGTATCATGAAGGCAATAGTACCAATTTATTAGCAAATGAGTTTTAAGTTTTTCAAGAGCGAGGTTAGCAACGCTGTGTGAGGGAAGTTAAGTGAATGTTGAAGTGCGCCACGTTAGGGGACTCTTGTATACAGCATGTTCAATGGTCACACATGGTGGGCCCTCGGTTGGAGCGGTAGCAACGCCAAAGGTTCAAAGGCCGTACCTAAAGCAAGCTTGTGGTCAAGGAATACATGTACAATGTACTAATAATCTGTGCCCACTGGCATGATTTACCAATATAATTTAACTTTCGTGACTAAGCACCCAACTTTGTAAATTTTATGCATGAAGAATCACCATTAGTAAATTGTCCATATACGATTGACTAATTCACACCCACAAAGTAGAAATCAAATTAGTAAATCATGAGTACATGGGAGTAAATTGTGGGTATAAATTACCACGTGTAACATTATAGTGAAAGATGCACTTAATTACTGCAGGATCAGGCCGTGACAATTCTGAGAAAGTTGTGTCTGTGCTGTGTCACATTTTGATTGTTTGTCCAGTAAATGGGGCTCACAGCAGTCTCCTGTCCACCTGTTGAAGCCAAAATTAGGCCAAACAAAAGATTTGTTGTGTTTCCTATTACACTAGAAAAATTAATTAGGGTGGTTGGTTGGGTAAAATAATTTTTTTCACTCTAAAGTTATGGGCAAGGCACCATAAGTTTTTATATTTTATTGATTTGCCAAATAATAAGATATACAAGTAGGTTCCACATGATTTTCTACGTTGGGTCGGGTAACCAGAAACACAGCTATTTTTTTGTTTGGCCTTAAGGTAAATTGGGAGAATGTGGACCTCTGAAGCAGAAAGTAATAGTTTCCCACATTTAACAAAAGTTATCTTTAATTCATTTAATGTTGGAAGAACTGCATGTACATGAGTGTATTTACAGAGATGCTACAGTACATTCGTTGTCACGCAAACACTTGATTTCAGGCTTTTTCTTGTAAAATGTTGGGCTAATTTTAAGCCATATAGACTTCTTTGGCCTTACATGTATCTCGCGCACTGTGCCGATACAATTAATTGTGTTGTGACTGACGTACTTTAGTCTATTGTCCTAAGAATTGGGTTAATATAAAACACTTCCAACAAAAATAAAGAAATTGAAGTTTAACCTACCATACAACTGAGAAAAGTGACGTCAATTTATGCAAATTTTTACGTACAATGTACTGTACAGGCTACAATTTTACAAGCATGTGAATGGATAGTTGGCATCCTCAAGCCATTACCGTGGGCGTGGTCATGCAATCACATTTAAATCCAAACATTAAATTTATGTAAACAATTTTCTGGTTTTCTGAAAATTTCATCTTGTGGGTAACCAATAACAGTTACAGTCCAATACAAAAGTACAATAAAATTAATAACTGCCTAAACTGATAGCCATTGTGCACAATGCCATATCATCATCTTCCTTTCTATTGAATCCTGCAATTTCGCATAACGCAGGGGTCCACTTTACCCCACGGGTGGGTATTCTCAGATGATTTGTTTGTTTTCTGTCTCAGCAAGAGCCTCTGTGATGTGCAGCTGTCATCTCCACAATGGCTAAGCAGTACATGTACCTGGACCCAAACCAGAGCTTTTATGTCGGGCCTCGCTTCTCTGACCTGCGGCCCCTGGGTTTTGGCAGCGGGGGTCAGGTGTACTCAGCTGTGGACGTAGAGTGCGACAAAAGTGTAGCCATCAAGAAGATTGGATTGGCCAACCAGAAGAGTTGCAAGGTACAGTACGTGTATCAATCTCAGTAAACCCAGGCTAAGTCAGCACCCTCAGGACCCAAAAATTTTGTGCCAAGTTACGTGAAGGCCGACTTCTACTGTAAGTCTTCATTTTGCCGACTTATTACATGTACATGAAATGAAGACCTACATGTATGCATAGTTATGTAAATGTGCACATACATGTGATCGGGTTGCACATGCTGCAGCGCTCAAAATGTCCAGTCCGAGCGTAGAGGAAGGAATGGATACAAAGAAAACATGAAACGTGGTTTGAACTGCTCCGAAGTTTTGACATGGGCATTGGATTTTGCGAAGCGCAGTGGTCCATCACTGCAAACGGGGTGCCTGCATGTACATGAACAGTATATGGACCGGTGCACGCTGAATTCGCCCAGCAAAAGCCCAACAAAAATCACACTCCACTGGACCGCTGAAAATATGTGCACTAAAACCTTCAAAATACATGAAAAGTGGAAAATACCAACACTATACCGGTATAAAAGGGAATCTATATCTGTGAACTAACTCATTCACTGAAGTATTTCAGAAGTTTTTATTACTTCACGTTTTCGGAACGACAGAGTGGGGAGTGTACATGTATCGGTACTTCAAGTTGTCGCGGGGGTCACTTGCTCCCGGCCATTCCATACCGTTCTTGCTATTTTTGGCGGTAAGAACCTGTGTTCTGTAAATTTTGTGCACTTCCACTACACAGTGCTCGCAACGCTACTTGCCTCATGCTTGGGCCTAGGGAGAGCAGGAATTATCAACTTTGTCTCCACATACCGTCATGTTATATACACATTTTTTTCAGGAAAAATCCCTAAAATTTTACATGGCAAGTGCATGTGATATCCTCAATATGTACACGTGCTGGCAGAGAAAAGTCTGAGCTGTAACGCTGCATAAACACTGATGCAGCGATCACGGATGGGTGTTGCTGTGTGACCTTTCACTTACACTTCTTGCCAACCGCAGTGCGGAAGTCTATGCCGATGCAGAATTTTTAAACGCCGAGTTACACAAAGGATTTTATTGTGTTTTTTGTGGAAATGGAACTGAGAGTAACACGCCAACTTTTTTTTTAGACATTCACTGAACAGGTCAATTAAGTAAGCCCTGTCCGCTTTGTTTATTGGCGATAAGCCCTTTGCGAGTTAAGTCTGAATAAAATCTGGTACACTGAGTTCTTTAAATTCCTGTGAACATAACAATTTGAATTCTCTGTACTAAAGACACTTTTGCTACACGTTGTTATTCGGGGCAAGCTTTTCCTTAACCCTAACACTCTACAGTCCTCCAACAGGTGAAGGATTGCGGAGTGTTAGGGTTAATTATATAAGAGACGCCTTGCTCCAATACACTGTTTGCAATGGATAAGACGTGCACAAAGGAACCAGTCCATTCCAGAGATGATGGTCACTATGCAAAAATTTGCCCCAAATCTCAAGGTATAGCGACAGTATCTTTAGTCTGGGAAATTCAAATTGTCATATGTGTGTGCAATCATATAACTCAGTGTACCATACTTATTTAACCCTAAC